GAAGCCAAATTCGCATTATTTTTTTGCCCTGGTAATCCTAACCATCTGATCTCTTTTTTATCTTTCGCGATAATATCCATTGCCATTAATACATTTAATGCGTCATATACTCTACGTCGTATATTTTTTTGATCTACTTTTTGCTATAAAATTAAAATAAATAAATAAAATATAAATTAATTATTTGTTTAATTAATTTAAATTTCTTATAAAGTTTATTAAGCTAAATTATCTAAATTTTTTTCGCGTCATCAAAATATTTTTAGGTGTTACCCACCCCACCATGCTCTTGCATATGAGCTGCAAAATCTTCAGACAATTCATCTGCAACCTAATGCATGAAAGGCAGTACAAAAAAAAAAGAATATAAATTCATTAGTAATGCTTTATGCATAAGTACATCATATTTTCCATATGAAAGTAAATAAATAAATAAAATTTTACGTCAATTCACAGTATGATTTCAAAAATACGTGTAATATTGCATTCATAAACTTTGGTTAAAAGTTTATAAATAACGATTATTTTTTTTTTTAAAAGAAAAAAAAAAAAAAAAATTTTTTTTTTAATACCTCGTTATAGGTAGTAACGCCTTTAAGTTCTACTTTATCACAAACTTGTTTGCTGAAATGTCTAAGACCTTTATTTTGACGTAAAATTTGTTGTTGTGGGACTTGTTCACCTAGCATGCTACCAGTATCACTACTATTCGTAGTAACCGGTGAACCATTTGATGACGTACTCATCGCGTTAGGAATAGGCGCGATTCGAAGTGGTGAAAGACTGATACTATTATCATACCATGATTGATCAAAAATTTTCAATTCGATATACATAGTCGAAAAAGTCATGTTAGGATCAATTTATAATATTAAAATAATACTTGTATTAAATCATTGCTAGCCAAATACTAATGCTTATCGAAGCTAAGGTATGTTGAAATAAGTTTAATAAGCGATTGTAATAAGTACTTTTAAAGTAATTAATAATTACTTAATAAGTACTTGGTTATACTTTGTGATGAAAAAAGTTTTAGTTACTTATAAGATAAAAATAGATCAATTTAGAAAAATTTTTTAATAAAAAAAATTATTAACTTATTCTTGGTGAACTCTTTAAATATTAATTTTAAAGATATAGTTCTTAATACAATATTTCTATAATATAGTATAATGATGTGAGATAACATCATGTTGGTATGGTGATAATTTTTTTGATCAGAGAATGCTACAAAACAGTATTTCCGAATAATCAAAAAAATTATTGCTGTATCAATGTGATGTATCTCAGAATTATCATGCTATATTGGTATTATAGTATGGCAGTTATTGATCATAAATTGTACTGTTTATGTTTTTTTAAAACTTCTTTAATTCATATAGTGCAAAATAATATTAGTATGGATGATGTAAACCATACAAAATAACAAGCATGAATGACATAATAAAAAAAAGTAATTTTATAACATAAATGGTATAATATTTATGATCAATAGTGGCTGTACTATAATTTAGTTTATATAAAGGATGATATTTTTCATTATTATGACTTTTATAATTTACTTATAAAAATTTAAACTTGTATAAAGAGCAAAATTTTTTTTTAGCTTTGAGAATATATAAAATTTTAAAAAATCTTAAAAAATTTTTAATAGAAAAAATTTTTTAAACAAAAACTTTAAAGTTTTATTGCTCAAAAATTTATTAATAATTTTAAAAAA